GGGCGGGGGTGAGCAGTGGACACACTCTGTCACTTTATCCTGGTTGGGCAAAGGGACTTTGTCTAAGAATTTAATTTAGTAATTCCAATAAAAGATTACTTAATTAAAGCCTTTGGCACTCCAGTGGTTGATTCAGGTAAGGTCAGTGGCTTTCGTAAAGTCCCCACTATTGTTCAGAGCACACATAGGACTGCTGTTCTTCCTTCTTTCTGTTGGGATGTCCATAAATTGGGCTGCGGCCTGGAGTGGAGTTACAGCCAACATAAAGAGAAATAATTATATTCTTTTATTGCATAGCCACTGCATGGATCAGAATGGAACCAGATGCTACAGGCCCTTGGTCCCCTAGGGAATTCAAAAATGATTTTTAAGTTGTAGTGATAATTCTTTAAGCAGTGCTGTTAGTAGATTAAGTTGGACAGTCCCTTTTAAATGGGAGTTTCTCAGTTGCCATTGGAGGGGCTCAGCATTGGTTTGGTGGAGAATCTTGCTGGGGCTAAGGAGTTACAGAGGTGGAAACCCTCCCCTCTTTGTGCAGCTAGTCTTGGGGGGATTCCAGGACCAAACAGGAGGATTATAGGAACCTAGAGGTCCCAGCCCTTAAGAGCTGCAGTTAGTAAAGCAAGATCTAGTGACAGGTTCCTTTTAAATATAAGTATAGGAAGGAATCCTCCTTTTAAATTGGTGGGGGTTTTAATGGGGGGAAAAAACTGTTGTCGGTCTCCACAGCAAATATTCTAAAGACAGAACAACTGGCAATAAATATTAGAAGACGGTAATGCAAAGTTTTCTTGGGGCAGCTACTGAAGCGTGCTAATGACAGTGGAGGAATGCGGAGAGATAAGGGCTTTTAATAATGTCACTGGGTTGGAACCAGAATGCTGACACATAGAAACATTCCCAATGAATTATGAGTCCTCTCCGGGCTCCTGGAAGGGAAAGATTTATAGAACTAGGACTGCATAGACCTTCTGCAGATATACTAGAGATCTGTCTTCATTTGCCAGACATTTCGCTGTTTATTCTGTAGCCAGACTGAGATTCAGCCATGGAGATTAGACTCAGCCATGCAAAAAATAAGCTTCTGTTTTCCACCACTACCAGCTTGTTCGAGGTCAGCCGTCAATATCTTCCCAATGTTGTCTCTGTGTTTAGACTAAGTGGACCACATTTATCATAGTGAAATAAGACCTATTTGTTCTGACACACAGCAGCCAGCTGGTTTAAAAGTAGAACTAAACCCAATCGCTAACATTTCATATGAGCTGTTACATGTTAATGTAATTTTCAAGGCTTTCACTCTCTATTTCTCTAATGGTACCTGGCGATCCCGCTGTCCACGTTCATGCACTTCTGTTATAGGGCAACAACCATCTCCCAGTTGTGTTTCTTCATTGTACCCTGTCATATGCTTCCCTGATAAAAACTATAAGCAGGTGTACCGACACACATTGTGCAGACATGGGCCACGGTTTTCACTATAAGGAAGCCGGTCCAGCGGTCCAGAGAAATGATGGGCATCTGGCGCTTGAGCATATACACGGGAAGTGGGTTAAAGAGATCAGTGGGATTGAGATGGAAAAAAATGTTAAAAAAATAGTGAAAACAGTATTCAATATAAGGAAATATAACACAGCAGTTATTTGATACACAGTGCTTTAGCAGATGACTAAATGCTCATCTGAACCCGGCTGTGGCAAGGGCATACCCTCCCCTGTTGCATGTACACAAAAGAGCAGCATGCTGATGACATGATTGGTCTTATATGGCTAATGACCTGGCCATATAAGGTCACGTGGCTAGTAAGGTCAATGATGTCACCAGCATCCTGTCCCTTTGTTTACATGCAGCCATGGGGCAGAAAATGGCCCAGCCCGCCAGGCTTCACAGCTTTCTTTCAGGTTTGGACAAGCTCAGATTCAGTCTGAACCTGAGCCCATGCCTAGTTATCTACTTTAAATATCTGGGTGCCGGTTGTGTATATTTGTATCTGATTGGTTGCTATACAACAAAGGCAGCTCTTCTGGGTTTTTTTCCGGACACTTTTATAACCAAGGCCCAATAGACGCCCATACATTTGCTTGAATAATTGTGGCAACTCATTACGCTAAACTCCCCATTATCCAGCATTCAAGCAACCGGCACTCTCAAGCGACCAGCTTGAAAGACATGGGGAGATAAAAAATTTCTTTAGCAACTTAATTTTTTAGGTTGCTAAAGAAATTCTCTGTGTACACCTTGCTGCTCGCCAATGACTAGATTGTGCAGTCAGCAGCAGAGTGTAAGCAATGGAGAGCAATAGCCAGCCTGCTATTGACTATTTCAAAATTGCAATAGCAGGCTGGCTATTGCACCCGCCCACTGAGCAGAGGAGCAGACCTGAGAGAGACCTTTCTCTCTCAGGGCCGCTCCTCTGCTTAGAGGGTGGGGCTTCAATTGCCAGCCTACTATTGGCTATTGCAATTTGAAATCGATAATAGCAGGCTGGCTGTTGAAACTCATTCACCTGTTGGCTGTGGAAGCTAGTGAATTGGGCGCCACGGGGGTGGTGGTTGCTTGAGAGTTACTATTAATCTAATAATAGAGTTACTATTAACTCTCAAGCAACTGGAACGTACAGTTTTCTGGCACCTACCGATCCCCGTGGGTGCCGAATAACTGGGAGTTTGCTGTATATGTTTTCTTTAGGACAAGCAATTCAAATAACATTTAATAACATATTGAAAGGTTCTCTTTTAAATTTCCTGGCACATGTAAACATAAGCGAAACATTATCTTATCAGATCCTAGGGAATATAGCGCAGCCCAGATCTTGTATGAAGATGCTCTTGCAGTGGACTGGAGTCTCTTCTCTTGAGATCTGGCCTGCTCTGCGTTCCCTAGGAATATTCTTATAAGGGTGGTGACATTAAACCCAGCCATGCAGAAGACAGGGGTAAGGCAAGTATAAAGTCTAGCTTCTTTCTTTACAGGTGCCTTTTGCATATACTTTTAGCAGATCCAAAAATGCCAAAGTCAGGACACAGCCTATGTATGACTTGATGATCTCTTTTTGGTCACAATTTTAATGACATTCCTGGTTCTGTTATAGGAGATTTCATCCAACTTGTAAATACCAAATCATCAGTCCACAAAGGAGACATGCTGTGTGGTGGCCTCAACAATGTGACAGTAGCCTCTGAAGCTTACAATCTGTCTTCCAGTCTCATGAGGATCATGATGAAGTCCAGGGTGCTGAATGAGGAGCCCCTGACCGTACAAGGAGGAGAAATTCTGGCCAGAGGCAAGCGCTCAAATCCTCTTAACCTGCTTTGCTACAGTAACCGAACAGGCTGCCAGTTCTTTATACCTCAGGGTTTTAATAGCACCTTCCCAGATTTAACTGACATTATCCAGGTCATGATCCAAGTGGACTCCAATCCTTATCCCTTTGGCTTCATCAGCAACTACACCGTCTCCACCAAGGTAGCGTCTATGGAATTCCAGACCAGTAACGGCAGTCAAATCCCGGTGGAGAGCCTGGATTCTGAAAAGGCCATCACAGTTATCATCGCCAATAACACCGGTGTTAGCAATATCACAGCTGGCGTGGCTACGGTGGAGAGCCGGCGCTCCATGAAGGTTGACATTGAGGCAGAGAACAGTAATGAGCTTGCAGGCCTTCACATTCAGATTACCTATAAAGTCCTAGATGGTGAGTGTCTATTAACTTTTTATTATCGATTATCATAAATTATGGGGGGTTTTAAGAAATTAGACATATTTGTCCTTCCATAGTTAGTGTTTATAAAACAAGAAAACCTGCGCTTCTGGATCCAAATCGAAAAAAGGAAGTCGAACAAAGCCAGAAGCTGCTGAAACTTAGGCAGTGCGCCTCAAATGAGATAATCAATTAATAGTGTAGCGCTAAAGGCTTTAAAGTGTGTAAAACCAAAATATGTGTGAAGTGAAATATATCTTCATAAATTGTGTCAATCAATCACTCTGCTATAACGCATGAATTCTGATATATAACTGTATAATATCTTTGCGAGTGAAACAAAACAGTGAAAAAATTGAGAAAGGCTGAGAATTAATTAAAAAGACTGAGAATTTCTTTAATTAATTCTTTTTAATTCTCAGCCTTTCTCAATAGTTAGTGTTTCATTTATAGATGAAGTCTGGTGGTCTTAGGTCCCCTTTAGCCTATATTATTTGGATACTCTGGCAGCTAGATGTCTCCATAATACCGTGTTCTGTCTCTGCCCACTTTGGAGTCTGACTCCTGTTTCACCAGGACATTCCACTGAACCATCTTGTGGTGGCCACTGTAGGGAGGCAGACCTGGGGACTTAAGCTGAAAAATATTGCCTTTAAAATGTCCAGATGTTCCACCGTTCCAACAGTTAATCCCCAACATTTGCCAAAACTCAGAGCCAGATTATCCACAAGGCAACCTAGACAGGAGCCTAAGGCCCTATGGATGTCCACCTACAACCTTCATGCCCTGCAGTAAACCAGGGGGAGAGCTAGTGGATCAAAGCTTTGCACCTGCTTGTCCTATGATAAGGGAAGATGGACTTGTGTCTGATTGGGCTTGCAAATACTGTGCCTATTGCAATTCTTATCCATGGAAGAGATTGGAGGGGTGAACCTGGTCTGCTACCATGACTAGGGCACCATACTTCCTTAATCTCTCTCTGCCAAACCTGAAATATTTGTTTTGATTGGGCTGAATCTCTAAATTGCCCCTGCTTCTAATTTTTGCTGTCTTGATGTCTTCAGCATGCAACACACATTTCGGTATGTTGATTGGCTGGCCCCTGATTATGTTATGGTTCTACCCACCACCAAGCTCCTCCACCCCTCACCTCACTTCCCTACAAAACCTTTTATGGTTTTTCCAGGGAAGTAGAGAAGGGGGAAATGCTATAGATTGTTACTTGAGTGATGGCTCTGAGTCTGCTCGTGCTGCTGACATCACATCCAAGATGGTGGCACCCAGCAGAAGTCGCCGGGCTTTTGGATGGCTACACAAAAGGGGGCTTTTACTGGTAAATAACATGCATGAAATTTGTTAAATGCACATATAAACTTATAGCACATTTTTGTTGAAGTGACAGGGTCTCTTGAAATGAGCTTGCTGTGTCTGTTCTAAAGGTGTTTGTTGGCTTATTTTTCTTTATTTCTATAGTAAAACTGATTTTCTCTGTCTCTGCTCAGAATGGTATTCCCACATGGAACAGGAGCCGTACATCTCCGCTTATCTCCATGAGACTGATCATCCAAACCAGTACAATTACAGCGCCATGAAGCAGATCACGATGGATGCTATGAAGGGAGATGACCATAAGCTGTACACGTTCTTCATCGCTCCCACGTAAGAGAATAGCTGGCAGAGGACATAACAGATGTAGCTGAGTAAAGGTGCTCACACATGGGCTGATTACTGTGGATATTGTTCCAATGCAAACCCAATCAAGCGATATTAAATGCTGTCTGTGTCCCCTCTGGAGTAATTCTGTCTCTGTTTGTTCTGATGGCCATTGTCACCAGGACAGAAAGTGAATGGAAATCCTTTTCTGCGGTCACAGCCTCTCTGTTCGATATCCTTTCATACAATGCACGGATTTGGAGGTGGGGGGAATACTGGTGACACTACATAGTATTTTTTTTGTGTTGATTGGCATCCAGATTTAAAGAGTAACACCAGACAGACCTTTAATTGCAGCAAACCAGTTCTATCACCTGTTCGTCTTTTAGAAGGTACAATGCCCTTTGAAGGTAATATAAATCAATACTTTGAAAACTGACCAACAATTAAATTGTAATATAGTAAGTTAGTAGATGAACTGGCAGAAAAGTGTTAGACAAGCTCAGAGAACCTTTTGTTTGCTTGTTGGAATGGGTTACATGCTAGAGTTCCTGCTGTTCCACTCCTCGACATTATTCGGAGCTACAGTTCCTGCTGTTCCCCCCAGACTTTAACCCCTTCGTGACTGACGACGTACAGTGTACGTCGCCAGCATCGGAGCTGTTTAAACAGTAAAATATATAATGTTGGGGGGTTTTACGTCATTTTCAGGCCTAAAATGTGGAATATAACATGGGTGCAAAAATGGAAAAAAGGGCCTCAGTCATGAAGGGGTTAATTCAGAGCTACAGTTCCCCCCAGACTTTAATTCGGAGCTACAGTTCCTGCTGTTCCCCCCAGACTTTAATTCGGAGCTACGCCTAGTTTGGAGGTGTCTTTGAATACCCCAGTAGGTGGTACTGAATACCCCAGTAGGTGGTACTGCAGGGCCTATAAATAATCATTACTTACCGTAATTTTCCTTTCCTGGCTCTCCCCCATGTCAGCATACCACGGGTTAGCTCCGCCCCCAACCCCAAGTAGGACCACCTTCACTAGGTGATAAATCCCCCCTGCTCCACTCACCATGCGTTCTATTACACGCCGAGCGAAGACACCACCAGGGAGGAAATGCTATGCTGACATGGGGGAGAGCCAGGAAATGAAAATTACGGTAAGTAATGATAACAATTTTCCGTATTCCTGGCTCACGCCATGTCAGCATACCACGGGAGATAGCTAGCCACAAAAAACATGGGAGGGTAATCAATGCAAAAAAAGAATAATTTATTAGTACAATCAACGAGAACAGGCGGCAGAAAGCACAGCCGAACCAAAGGAACCAGCTGAATAAGAGGAGACGTCCACCCTATAATGACGGATGAACGTATTAGGAGTAGACCAGCTGGCGGCCTTACAAACAACCTCTGCCGGAACCTTCGAGTACGCAGCCCAGGAGGTAGACACCGACCTGGTTGAATGAGCCCTGAACTCGAGAGGAGGAGGTAGACCTGCTGAGGCATACGCCAGCTGAATAGCTCTGACCACCCATGAAGACAACACTCTAGTCGAAGCTGCAGCTCCCTTCCTGGGACCCCTTGGTAGAACAAACAGATTATCGGAAGAGCGAAAGTCTTTGGTTCTGGTAATGTAGGTGGACAAGACATCCACAGGATCCAGCTGTTTAAGAGGCTTGTCATCTATTGAGAGGTCCGCTTCATGAACAGCTGGGAGAACCGTCTCCCAATTGATGTGAAAGTCCGAAGAGACCTTGGGTAAAAAATCCGGCCTGGGTTTCAAAACTACTCGGTCCTGAAAAAACTGGCAGTAGGGCTCGTTCACAGAGAAGGCTCGAAGTTCCGACATCCGTCTTGCCGAGAGGATGGCCGTAATGAAGACAGTCAGCAAAGTAAGGTGATACAAAGAACTGGATATAGCAGGAGAAAAAGGACTGTTCAACAATCCCCTCAGGACAAGTGGGAGGTCCCACTTGGGAAAGAATGGCCTCACTGGAGGCCTTATCTTCAAGGCTGCCCTCAAAAATTGCTTCACTATAGGGTGAAAGGCCCAACGGAACTTGGTCAGAGCCGAGAGAGCTGAAATTTGAACACGTAAGGTATTATAGCTTAGACCCGCGTCCAGGGCAGACTGGAGGAAGTCAAGCATCTCTCCAATCGAAGGGTTCTCAGGCTCCCAGCCCCTATCCGAGGCCATCGATAAGAATTTCTCCCAGACCCGATGATAAGTCGATTTAGTGGAAAGCTTCGTAGCCTTCAACAGTGTCTCCACTACTGAGGATGAGAACCTGAGCCGCTGCAATCTCTTCCTCTCAAGCTGAAAGCCATCAAATTCAGGCGAGATAAGTTGGGATGGACCATGTCCTGCTGAAGTAGAAGGTCCCGCTCTAAAGGAAATGGAATCGGAGGAGCGGTCATGAGATCCAGAAGTAGAGGGAACCACGGCCTCTTTGGCCACCATGGAAGTACTGCTATTGCCTCCACCTGTTCCCTGTCTATCTTCAGTAGAGTCCGTAAAATCAATGGAGTGGGGGGAAAGACATAAATTAGGCTGAAAGTCCATGGAAGGGACAGGGCATCCTGACCGTATGCTTGATGAAAGAAATATCGGGAGTTGAGTGTTGGTCCCTGTCGCCATCAGGTCTATTTGGGGAGTCCCCCATAGGTGAAAGATCGGCTCCAGGTAGCGGGGATTCAAAGTCCACTCGTTCGGGTCCTGGAAGACTCGACTCAGCTGATCCGCAACTGAATTGTCCACCCCCCGGGAGATATGAGGCCATCAACTCGTGCAGATGATCCTCTGCCCAAGCAAACAGAGGTGCCGCAATCTTCAGAAGGGAAAGACTCCTGGTCACGCCCTGCCGGACTATGTATGCGACTGCAGTCCTGTTGTCCATCCTGAGCTTGACTCGCGCCCCCTTGATTAAGTGATGAAAAGCCTGTAAGGCCTCGTAGGCCGCCTGGAGTTCCAAAACATTCGAGTGAGGGGAGATGCCTCTGCCCCACCTGGACTGAGCTACCTGATCCAGGCAATGAGCTCCCCAGCCCAGCAGACTTGCATCTGATGTAACCGTGATCCATTCCCCCGGACTGAGATCTCTGCCCTTGGACAAGTTCCCTGGGTTCCGCCACCAAAGAAGACTGAGCCGGACTGCTCGGGGTAAAAAAATAATTTGAGAGAGAGAGACCCTGCCCCACTGCTGTAAAAAACAAAATTGGATACGTCGGAAGTGCCAATGGGCCCAAGGCACGGCCGAGATGGTTGATGAGAGCAACCCGATGTAACTCAGGCAAACCCTGGCCGCACAGAACACTGACCTGCTCACCATATTGGAGGATCGAATTATATGGCGCACTTTGCGTTGTGGAAGGAAGACCTTCATCTGAACGGTGTTGAAAATCATGCCCAGGTACTCCAAACTGTGAGAGGGAAGTAGCTTGCTCTTCTCCCAATTTATCAGCCAACCGAAGTCGTGAAGAGTTCGAAGAACCACCTTCCTGTGGGCTACTATTTGACTGAACGACTGGCTTATTAACAGAACATCGTCCAGGTAGTGATAAATGCGGATATTTTTTAGCCGCAAGAAGGCTATCAGAGTCACGAAGACCTTGGTAAACGTCCTGGGGGCGGACGAGAGGCCAAACGGCAGGCATTGAAATTGAAAATGCTCCGGACCTACTGCAAACCTGAGGAACCGTTGGTGTTCCTCCGCAATGGGAATGTGAAAATACGCATCTGCCAGGTCCACCGTCAGCATCCAATCCTTGAACCTGATTACATCTTTTATAGTCTCGAGGGACTCCATACGAAAGTGCTCTGTCCTGACATACGTATTTAATCTTTTGAGATCCAAGATAGGCCTGAATGCCCCCGACGACTTCCTGACGAGAAAAAGCGGAGAGTAAACCCCTGTTCCCCGCTGATGATGCGGTACAGGGGTTACCGCCCGTGAGTGCCGTAATTCTTCGATATAGGCTCTGAGACAATCTCTCTTCTCTGATGCTTTTGGAACTGCAGTTTCCATGAAAAAATCTGGTGGAAGGGAAGAAAACTAGATCCTGTACCCCCTCTGAATCACCTTTAGTACCCAAGTGTCTTGGATGTTGTCCGCCCAAATCTGCCCGTAAGAGGCCAGTCTTGCGCCCACTGGAGGCGGAAGGGCGGGCCTCGTTTCAGAATGATTTCTCCGTCTTAGCAGCTTGGGAGGGCTTACCTCGGCCACCCCTGAAAAAGGAAGACTGACCTCCTCTCCAGGAGCCCATGAGGAACTCCCTACCAGGTCTATACGCCCTGGACTCACGGAACTGCTCCCGTGATGGACCCCATCTCGACCTGTTTTGGCGGAAGGACTGCTGACGCCTCCTCCTATCCTGGGGAAGCAAACCAGACTTTCCTCCGGTCACTCTCTTAATGGCCTCTTCCAGATGTGCTCCAAAGATTAATTTTCCTGCAAAGGGGACGGAACAAAGCCCCTGCTTAGAGGCCCCATCCGCCGACCTATGCTTTAGCCAAAGCGCTCTACGACCTGTCACCGAATGGGACATCAGTCTAGAAGAGAGCCTCACCAGATGGACCGAGGCCTCTGCTGTAAAGTCGGTCGCCATCTTCAGATCGTGGAGAGACGCCACAATATCCTCCCTAGGAGTACCTGATAGAAGAGCATCCTCCACTCTTCCAATCCAGATCCTGAAGGCCTTACTGACAGAAGAAAGAGCAACCGCAGGTCTGCAGGCTGCACCTTCTGCAGAATATATTTTCTTCAGATCCGACTCTATTCGGTGGTCCATGCCATCCTTGAAAGAGACCAAATCATCTACTGGCAAAACCATATGCTTCGCTAAACGTTGAAGAGCAGCATCTACTTTGGGGGGGTTATCCCACAACTCTGAGTCAGATGGCCTGCACGGATACAATTTGGCAAACTCGTTTTTTTATCCGGCCTAGCCCATTCTTTCTCCATGACCTCTTTGATCTCATAGAATAAAGGAAAGGAGGGCAAATCCCTTTTAAGATTTGGGAAGTATTTTCTGAGCTTTTGCTCTGGTACTGGCTCATCCTCCCAATTTAAGGCTAGCTTGATTGCCGAGACAAGTGGTGCCACAAGGGAGAAGTCAAAGGTAAATGACCGATCCTCCCCATCTTCCTCCCCATCCGATTCCTCCGCCGGGGAATCAAGGGATGAATGAGGCCCTGCCATTTCTTCCTCCCTCCTCCTTTTTAGGAGCTGGATTACGACTGGCAAACATTTTAAGTCCCTCCGCCACCGCCTCCTGAATGTAAGATTTGACATCCCGAGTCTGGGAAGTCTCCTCCGCAGCCACCTGAGACACATCATTTTGTCAGGAAGGGCCGGGGCCCTGCAACCCCAGCAGGAACCAGAGGTGGGCTTTGAGGGAGGGGACCTTGGAGAACCCTCCCTAGGGAGGCGACTTGTGCCCAAGCCAGGTGATCTACGGGTAGATCTAGATGATTTGTTGCCAGGCTAGGAAGACTTGTGATGAGAAGATTTGGTTTTATGCTTTTTCCCCATTTTAGGACTCCTCCCCCTAGAAGGGCTAGATGAAGCATGAAACCAGCCACTATTAAAACTCAGAAGCAAACACAAAAAAAATATATATAATAATTTTTGAACCATAGGTATCGCCCCTACCTCTCCGAAGAACTTCGTGCCTGCAGATTAGGGCTACCAGGACTCATATTGCAGAGATATGCACTGTACTGTTAGATTTAGACAAGAACAGAAAAGAACAGTAAGAAACCAGCTCAACACACATTAAAGGCTCCAGATATAATAAACACCAAAAACTCACATGAAGCAGAGCAGTCAGGACAACCAGATAGGAAATATGGGATAATGTTTTGTGTTTGTTCTTCTAGGGAAGGAAACCTGACCAGACACTATTACCTAAACATCACCAACCATTACATGTGGTCCTCCGTGGAAGTGATGGTGGGAATGTACACCTCCCTGTGTCAGTACTTCGATGGTAATGAGATGAAATGGAAGACGGAGGGAGTCAAACCCTTGGAGGACACCCGGTCTGACCAGGCTGTTTGTTTGACCCAGCATCTTACCGCCTTCGGTGCCAGCCTCTTTGTCCCACCCCACTCTGTCATCTTTATCTACCCTGTAAGTGAAGGCTGGAACTCATCTGGTAGTAAATGATCTATTTCCCATATTTATGTAGTGCTGACACATTATGGAGCTCTTAGTATAGAAATATTCCCGGCAGTCCCTCCTTCAGAGTAGCATACACCGTTAATATCCTGACCACCCTTTGTGGTCAGAGACAGTTTTATTGACACATCCCAGGAGTTAATAAAACTTGTAACTTTACTTCATCTATTAATAGGGATGCACCGATACCGGTATTTCGCTATCGAGTACGAGTACCGATATATTTGTTTCGGTACTCGACAATACCGATACCGGAAGTCTAAGGAAGCCGGACGGCGTGTAATGACTCCCCACCTGGCTTCCTGATTAGCCGGGAAGCCGTGCGGCATGTAAAGACACCATGTAATGAGGCGGCGCCCGGCTTCATGATTGGCCGGGAAGCCGGCTCCATGCTCCCTTGTCATGAGGTGACGAATGAGCATGTAGCCGGCTTCCCGGCCAATCAGAAAGTCGGGCGCTGCGTCATTACACGGTGCCGGTTTCCTGATTGGCCAGCTTGCCGACCAATCAGGTAGCCGGGCAGCGCGTCATTACACGCTGCCCCGCTTCCTGATTGGCCAGGAAGCTGGTTCCATGTTCTCTCGTTACAAGCGACGAAAGAGCATGGAGCCAGCTTCTCCAGCCAATCAGGAAGCCGGGCAACGTGTAATGAGTACGAGTACTTGCCCAAATACTCGGCACCGATACTAGTATCGGTATCAGTGCATCCCTATTTATTAAGAACAGGTCACAGGTTAAATCCACTGATTTAAAAGTCCTTCCCCTATCCACCCAAAAAGTAGAACGTGTCGGTAAAGTAGATACTGAAGAGTGTTTTTAGCAGGGAGCTTTACAAAATATAATATAGTTATTATAGCCTTTTACCTGCCTGAGGAACGTTCTAGGGCAACCTTTCTCAAGGAACCCTTAAAATCTTTTTCAGGTCTTGGAGAACCCCTGCTGGCCATTCATTGGTGGCCAGTGGGGAAGAATGCCCACCTTACCATGGTGGTCAGAATGCCACCCTTTAAGGCAGCTGGAAAGATTTTTAGTGCTGCTGGCTTTGCCAGGCGACGTTGACCTCAATACTACCTAGGCACCATCAATTGGGAGGTCCATCAGCCGCAGCTCTAGGAACCTCTTGCGTAACCCTAGTTGAGAATGGCTGTTCTAGGCATTTCTCTAGTTTTATTCTATGTATGTCTGTTTCCGCAGCCTCCTCCTCCTGGAATCAATTATATCGTACTTCTGACCTGTGCCGTCTGCTTCGTCACCTACTCTGTAGCCACCATTATCGTCCACAAACTTGATCTTCTGGATGTCAGCAAGGCTGGGGTCATACCGTTCTGCGGGAAGGCTGGTGTCTATAAATATGAGGTCCTGGTGAAGACGGGATGGGGGCGGGGATCAGGTGAGTGAGACTATATAAGATGGATTTCTGGTTAAGGGAACCTGATGATGTGTTTTAGGCCTGGCTTTAAATCAGAACTCCGAACTTCCCTTCAGACTTACATAGTTTAACAGGCTCCTTTCCTGAACTGGAATTGCTTCAGATAGAGCCTGCGACATTTCCTGGCGGGAGAATGTCCAGTATCATCAAGCGCTTTCCTCCCCAGCCTGACTGTCCCTGGCCCGCCCCTTTCATTAATTTGGATTTTAGTTCTATCAATCATGGAGGCTCAGTATCCCATCTGTGCTTTACCTAGGGGTGGCCTTCATGAAAGGAGTACTGAGACAGAGTGCTGTGATGTTTTCAGAAAGCCATTTACAGCACTCTGCTGGCAACTCCCACCAGCCATGATATGCTGGGTCCAGACATCACTGGGTCCAAAATATGGTATGTAATAAAATCAGAAATGTTTTATGTATTAATTTATTTAGCATGTTGATAAAGAGGGAAAGGATGAGGCAGTAAAAGCAAATTAGCAGTGTAAGCAGTGTAAGCAGGTTAAACTTTAGCTTTATGAAAAACATAAATTCTTGGGTCACCCAAAGATGCACATGTATGGAGACACTGCATACTAACACTATTGTACCTCTTTGGAAACAATAGGTTTCTTGTCTCAATGGGCAATTGCCCCGAGATCTCTCAATCTGTGTCCATTTGACAATACGCAGATGTGATCTTCTCCGTGGCCACTTTTTACACTGACTGTCCCTATTTTCCATCATCCTGCTTTTCAGGTACCACAGCTCATGTAGGTATCAGCTTATATGGTGTGGATAATAAAAGTGGACACAGACATCTGGATGGTGAAAACACCTTCCACCGAAACAGCGTGGATATCTTCCAGATTGCCACAGAGAAGAGCCTGGGGAACGTGTGGAAGATCCGTCTGTGGCACGATAACAAAGGTAGAACGTCGATCACATCTTTTTGATGTTTGTAAAAATATACCAAATTACCTGCACATATTTTATTTTGGTTTTCCTAGAGATGGCCCTAGTGCACTGTATGGTTGCAACCTGTCCCCGTTTGCTGGGGGCAGTTCTTGTTTTGAGGGGTCGGTTCCTGGCAAACAAACATTCCCAGCACCTTACACCTGTGCTGGGGGTTACTATTGCTGCAAATAACACCACCGATGTTGGGGCTTATTTTGCAATACCCCATAGTGACACCCACCTTATTGGCCATACCCCTATGTGTTTGGCAGGCAGCACCCTATGTGCGCAGCATTTTTTGTCTTCTTGATACATTCAAAGCATCCGTCCTAATTACACATGCTTAACGTGGTGCCTCTTATTTGAAATCTGTTTATTTTGTATTAAACCCCTTCGTGACTGACGACGTACAGTGTACGTCGCCAGCATCGGGGCTGTTTAAACAGACTCCCGGCGACTTTTGCCGCCGGGACTCTGTTTAAACTTGTAGAGCCAACTGTCGGCTTTACAACAGAAGCGATCCTGGCGACTTACCTGTCGCCAGATCGCTTCTGTGTCCCGAAGAAGGGGCCGCCCCCCCCGCCGGACACCGCCGCCGTGCTTCCCGGGCTCCGTTGCCCCTCCTACGGGCCCGGGACCGGCATCCTTGGTGTCCGCGGGGAGCTGGGGAGGAGGCCGACGAACTTCCGTTCATCGATCCCCTCCCCGTTCTATGGGACCGGGAGCGATGCAGATTGCATCACTTCCGGTCCCTGGGCTGTCAGTTCTGGGCTCCTGCAGCCCAGCTATAAGCTATTGAAGTGCGATCTGCACTTCAATAGCTTATTTCCAGTGTAAAGGTGACACTGAGGGTCTTTTGGACCCCCAGCATCACCTTAAAGAGGACCTGTCACCACCATCTGCTATTACATGGGGGGGCTTGTAAGCCCCCCCATGTGATAGCAGTCAAAGTAAAGTAAAAAAACAAAAAAAAACAGTTTTTAAAATTAAAATGAAATAAAATAAATCTAATAATAATAAAAAAAAATTTTAAAAGTCCCCCGCCCCCGCGAGCACGCGCGTCGCCACGTAAACACGCGTCGGGTGCGCCTACGTATGAAAACGACGAACGCGCTACACATGTTGGGTATCGCCGCGCACGCCGGAGTGAGAGCAATAATTCTAGGGCCAGTATTTTGGGGTATCTCTAAATTGATGACCTGTGGGGGCTTTTAAAGCGTCTTCTATTGACTTTTTGGGGTACTGCAGTTTTTCGCCGTTTTACGGACGAACGCAATTTGTAACCTATGCATGTTGGGTATCGTTTTACTCGTTGTAACCTCATCTTTTATATGTCATTTAAAAAATTGGTATTTTGTTGTGTTTTGGGGCATTAAATTAGATTTTTCACTAAATGTTGGGGGTTTAATAAGGAGTTGCGCTAATATTGCGCAACATAAAAATTTGCAACTACCACCATTTTATTCTATAGGGTCTTGGCATTCAGAAAATATATAATGTTGGGGGGTTTAAGTAATTTTCAGGCCTAAAATGTGGAATATAACATGGGTGCAAAAAATGAAAAAAGGGCCTCAGTCATGAAGGGGTTAAACCTTCAATGTCTCTTTGTCCAAAGGAGAGGGATCGTGTTAAAAATAAGGGTGTTATTTTTGGCTTCAATTGAGGATGTGATTTTTTTGTGGGTGTGGTTAAAGGGTTAATTTCACTTCTCCAATCTGACCACCCCACCACCCAAATATACTAATCCTTTGGGCAAATGCTCTTTCCCCTCCGCCGGTGCGTACATTCCTTACCCTATGCGCTCTGAATTTTGAATTTCGCTTGCAAATGGTGAGCACTCATTGATCAGCATAGTCACCTGACCTGGGAAAATGGAATTACCCTTTAAAAGTGGGCATGGTCAGTAAGGTATCCCCGGATTTCATTCTAAAACCATACTGTAGGTTGTGCAGCTGTAAGGTTATATACAGATTGGTGGGTGGAATGTATTTGCCAGTCTGTGGCTGCATTTCTACTGTACAGCTGTTCCCAGTACAGGTAATAACATTGGTAACCGTCGGTCCAGTATGAGGTTATATAGTGCTATGCAATTGCTTTTTCAATACTTATTATATTAATATATCAATCTAATATATAATTCACATTGCATGAACTGCAAATAATGCTGTAGTTTATACTAGACTTGCATGTGGTCACCATAAAGATTATTCATCTCTACAGTGACCTGTGAACAAATGTCATCTGTTCATGGGAATGGTTACAGATTGAAGAAATAAGAAACATTCAATCCACAAATAAACATTTTAAAGTATTTGTAAACCCACTCACTAACTTCTAAGATAAGCTTTAACCTATTAATGTCATTTCATAGGTCATTTTCAGTATTTTTACATTTGCATGGTGATCCTGCCATAAGGGCCCTTTGTCCAGGTACTTCCTGTTGTAGGGTAACAACGCTCTGTCCCTGTCTACCAATTGTGCCACTGCATTGTCACCCTGTCACATGGACCTCAAATGGAGACTACAGGTGGGCCATTTCAACCCACATTATAGAGGCATGGTCCACTTTTGTCACCATCAGAAATGCCGTCACTGGAGTGCAGGTAGACATAAAGTGGCTGCATAGAGACTGCAGGGGATCAGAGATGTAACAAAGGGTGAAACACAGTGAAAACAAGTTTACTATTAATAAAATTATAATTGTTTATGGTACACAATGTTATGATATTATGATGCTGATATTTGCTTGTTGGTCCCAGGGCTCAGTCCATCTTGGTATATCCAGCACGTCATCATCCGAGACGTGCAGAGCAGCAAGAACTTCTTCTTCTTGGTCAATGATTGGCTGTCTGTAGGTCAGGAGGACAGTGGCCGGCGGGTGGAGAAGGAAATCTTTGCTGCCAGTGAGTGATCTTTACTCCTTTGAGCATTAGATGGCTTGCGTTACTTTCTCTGGATACACGCTGACGTGTTTGTATTTCTGCCCGTTAAGGTGAGACGGAGCTGAAGAGATTCTCTCGGATTTTCATGGCAGAACTGCAGAGAGGCATTTCGGAGAAACACGTCTGGCTATCTATGTGGGATCGCCCTCCACGTAGCCGCTTCACCCGCGTCCAGAGAGCCACCTGCTGCGCGGTTCTCATCTTCCTCTTCCTGTGTGCCAATGTGGTTTGGTATGGCGTTGTGGGAGACCGGAATCATGGGTGGGTGTACCTCCACCTCCATAGACCACATTGATTGCTTCTCAGCCGCTTAAAGTAAACCTGCCATGGGAGAAATGTGGGGGCTGTCATGGTGAACGTGAACAAATGCTGCTGGCCTGCTTTTTATGTTTACACGCTGGCTTCATCACCTTCAGAGTCATCTGTAAAAGTTAGGAGTCATCTGCCTGTTTGATCTGAATCAGTGACTCAAAGCACCAAAGTAGGAGGGTCATCATTACAGCCATGCAACTATTATCTTCAGAAGTAGACGTCAGCAATGGCAGGCTCCATGTTTCTTACAGACAGCTTTACTTTAAGTAGTAAATATAACTTTATTTACTTGCTTTCTTCCTGTGAGCTTGCTTATTGGCCCATTCCGATCACATGCTCCTCCATTCTCAGAAGTAGCAGGTATTTTTAATGGGGTCTCTCCCATGATTGGAACAATGAGCATTTACTGCCATAGGATTGGCGATTAAAGCAAAGCTGTTGCTTTGCTCTGAATGGGAAGGTAATTTAACCACTTCAGGACCCCTGTACATATATACATTTCACAGTCCTGAAGTGGTTATACTGTTTTTTTTACAGTCGGCGCCTAGCTGTACCATACAAGTGTTTGGGCAGCCACAGAGCCACCCAATCACTTGTATGCAGCTGGTGGAAAGAGGGTCCCCTGCCAACCGACCCACCACCACTGCTGCTGCTGGCTATCCTGGGCTCTGCTGTCCTCATTGCGTGCCCGTGACCAGAAACGGCAGGTCTCTGTGCCTTGATTGAAAGGAGATAAGCACACTTCCAGCGGCAGATCTTCATTCTGATTAGTGTGTATTTCGTCATTTCCGGTTTTAGCCTGTCATTTCCCCGGCTGCTGTTGCCCGAGAAGAAGCTGGTGAAGCACCATCTGTACTTCATCAGCTTCTTTGGGGTCCATTGATGACATTAGGGGTCTAATAAAGAGGACCTGCCACCGCATTGCTGCTATGTGATAGTAATTAAATTAAGTGGAAAATGTTTTAAAAATAGTCACATAAAAAAAAAGCACAAAAAAACGTTTTAAAGTCCACCGCCCCCATGTACGCACACATCCAAATGCAAACTCGCGTCAGGAGCACCTACGTGCAAAAAATACGTTTGCACCACACATGTTACATATCACCATGAAGTTTAAGTGAGAGCAATAATTCTAGGGCCGTTACTCACTTAACGCTAGATTGATGAGCGTTAAAGGCCTCAGCGCTGTGAACACAATAAGTGAGAGTGTCTATAATACGTTCCACATGTCTCATTATACACAAGAAGCAAAAAAAGAGCAAAACATAAGAGTAAACACAATTACAGTAGAGAGGAAAGGGGAAGCACATGAGGGCTAAGGAGAAGAGAAGCTCATAGAGGAACAGGTCTGCAGGAAAAAGGGACAAGAAGACCAAAACCGAAGGAAAGGAAAGCGAAGCAAGAAGAAAAGCCCCCTCCCACCGCCCAGCCAGGGAAAGCCACCCGGTCAACCACATGGAGCCATATTCACACGAAATGCATGAGGGTTTCAAAGTCCAAAGATGATCTGAACTGTCTCCATTAAAACTAGATCCTGGAAAATTTGTCATGAGAACCTCTGCTCGTGGAAAGCAGATCCTCTGATCTATCACTAAAATTAGACCTTATGGAGCCAAAGGGCTAAGGAAGGGGCTGAATCTGTCCTCCCCTGGTCTGATAGGCGCATGCAATTTTAAGGCTTGACATGTTTGGTATCTATTTACCTGACATGACCCCATCTTTTTTACTTTACAAAAAAAAATGGGTATTATATTCTGTTTGTGTGCACTAAAATTCAATTCAGTGTATTATATCCTAAACATTTTGTGCAACATAAAAAAAATTGCAACTAGAATTTTTTTTATTCTAGGCCTCTGCTTTTAGAAAATATATAATTGTTTGGGGGGTTTAATCTGTTTTCTAGCCAAAAATTCAGATTTGTGTGTGAAAAATTAAGAAATTGCTCCGGACAGGGAGTGGTTAAGGGGAACCAGTCACCATTGGGCTTATGAACTAGTCTAATTATTGTTATGTTACATATTGCAATGTATGACTACTCGTTCGTTGTAACACTAAAGCCAGCTATACACAGATTGTCCTTTCGATTTCCCAATCCAATCTAATCAGTGTGGATGGGGGAATCTCCCCTGCCAGCTATTGTTTGATTGGCTGCAGTCACTGTATGGCCGACACATTTTGACCCAATTCCTCCAATCAATGTTTAGCGGGCTGGTGGTGGCGGCAGTGCCACCCACAGATTTAATTTTGGCTGATGCAGCAGGAAATGGCTAAAATTCAATGTATGGTCATCTTACGTTGTTCCACAATTCTTTTCTCGTAGTACTAAATAAACAACCAGTTTTCCTCTCTTATAGGGATGGTGCCGTGTCTCAGGTGGTTCCTTTCAGCGTGGACTCAGTGGCTGCAGGATTGGTGACTAGCGTCTTAGTCTATCCCATCTACTTGTTCATCCTCTTCCTGTTCAGGCGAGCTCGCAGCAAGGTAAGTTGACAGGTGTCTATCATTGGAGGTGGCATTTAATTGCGTCTCCCTCAGATATCACATCAGATATCACAGCATGGTCGATATTGGTGTTCTCTCTTCCCACAGACCTGTGTCAGGCCGTCTCTCACATACTTTGATCAGAACTCCTTGGAAATCGATAATTACTTGGACAACATGATGATGGAGAGTTCCTTCATGACATATACAGGGATAAATGGAGAGGTGAGGATGTCACATCTTTCATAGATAGGCCTCAAAACATTTTTACTTTATATTTTCCATTAAGGCCTCATTCACACGAGAAACGGCCGGCATGTACAGCTCCGCGCTAGGTGCACAACCGTATCGGGATAGAGAAGGACAGGGGCTGCGTACTAATCACACGCAGCACCTGTCCTTCCTCGGAGCTGCCCGATATATGGCCGTGCACGCGGCCTTTTCTTGTGTGAATGAGGCCTTAAAGTGGACCTATACCTAAAATCTAAAGTTTGGCTGTCTAACGAAGTTTTGTTAGCATAGTTCACAAAAGTGGCAAAGCAATTAAATAAAAAAAATGTGTCTTTGGCATATAATTCCTGATTAGAAGCAGCAGACCACATCCACCCAATGACAGTGCCTAGGCACTTTCCGCTCTTTAGCCTCACAGGAGCCTATCTGGAGTTGTAAAGGTATACCCTGCCTTCTGATTACTGGATTACATTGTCGTCAGGGTCTAGGAACAGGAAGAGGTGTTCCAAGGAGAGACTGCAATGGATGAAAATATGGACAAGGGCAAAAGAACAGACAAAAATGTCTACTGTCAGGGCTTCATCATTTACAGCTGACCTGTGTCCCATGATTGCCCAAGTCTAACAGGGTTATTCACAGAAGGGTGAAGTGTTTGGAGACGGTAGGAGAAGTGAACAATCTAGGACAATATAGCTGAACTGGAAAGTGAGCTGAATTGGAGAATTTTTACAAATCAGCTATTTTGGTCTAGATTGTTCACTTCTCCTGCCTTCTCCAAACCCTTCACCATTTTGTGAATAGCATTGTACGTCTCCTTTAATATATGTGATGGTGTGGCTATCAGTGTAAACACTTAAGAATTGTAAAGTTATACTGATGTGGTGATAATATCTCTTTCTTCATATTCAAAGGTATTTTCTGACCAGACCAAGACCGAGATAATCGTGGATGACACAAAGGGGTTAGTGCCTAGACTTGTAAATCTCTAGATGTTGGTCTTCAGGTTTCAGTTCTTCTTTGTTGTCATTTATTTGCCTTGTTTAACTGTCTACTGGATTTCATAATCACTTTTTGTTGCATAAATTATTACAACTCTAGTCCTTCCCCAGTTACGATCATAGCTCCCAACTGTCTTACCTGTGGAGGGACTGTTCCTCTTATGGAACCAAGTTCTTTCCTCCTCAATTGTCCATTTTTTTTTTTTTGGTCTGATGTATTGACCTCTATAAACATGTATTACTGAACAAACTGAAAGTGTTCTACTACCTTAAACTTTTTATCCATCTTCAAAATTATTGAATTTGTTACTTTGAAAATCCATTTTCAAGAAGAACTCCAGGTTTCAGAAAAATTAACCCTTGTGTTGGAGCTATACCTCCACACTGCAAGGCTTAACTGCCCGTTTTTTCTCTAAGGGGCTCAAATAAAGAAGAAATACTCGCCTGATCCTCGGTCCAGCCTGGCTGCTAGACCAGTTTCCGCAGTCTCTTCACCCCTGGGTTCCGGCGGTCTAAACCCCACTGACATCATCACGTCTAATACAGTCCATTAGACGTGAGGAGGCCGAGGGACATATATATCACAGCTGGAGCAGAGGGGGGTAGGGTTGAGCAGTCACTGCCACTGGACCCGAGGATCAGTTGAGTATATCTTCTTTATTTGAGAAGAAGGAGCAGTTAACCCATGCAGTGTTGGGTACCACCTCTCCCTCCCCCCCCCCACTGCAAGGTTTATTTATACCTAGAGTAGTTCTTTCAAGAAAATTAGTGGGATTAACCCATCACTTTATGTATTGTCCCCGGCCTGGTTGACTTGAGGCATGGCAGGTGTGTGTCCTCTTGCTTGTATTCATTTTGCCAACAGGAGTCCCTCTTTCTCATGTCAGTAAGTTGGGAGGTTGGGTTAACATATATGTCTGTGTCTGCAGTTTCATTCAGTGGAGTGCCAATGATGGTATGCTCAGCTGGCCAGACCTACTAAGTGACCCGACCATCATGGGGAACAGCATCCAGAAATTGGAGAAGCACCGCAGCAGTCGAAACCTTGGGTTAGATGGCAGCTCCCATCCCAGTGAGGAGGACAGTGTGGTACTAGGCCCTCCCCCATCCATTCCACGCCATTTCTTAGCATCAGGTGAGCATACAAGGATGGAAGTGATATTATGAAATGATGGAGTTTGATGGGACAACATTGAGCTGTGTCTGTCACAATATTGGTGATGAAGACTACAATAGTAGATTTAGTGTTTAGTCTGGATTGTCAGGATTATTGGTAACTGCTTGTCCAGAGATTTTCTAGCACGTTAACAAATAATTGCATTGCGGTGACAAGGGCTCATGAGACTTGGGTACATGTTAACGCTTGAACGTAAAGCTTTTCCTATGCAGGCAAAGCGACAGGTTCACTATTTGTAAATGTGACCCACCATATATCCTCACCTTCCTAGAGTAGCCCTTTACATGCTTGAAGTCTATCTGGATGGAACAGGGCTAAAAGGCTTCCTTCCCACCGCTTTCTGACAATGTTCAGGACTAGCAATTGGCAGCTCAGGAACACAGCACTACATTATGGGAGGCATTCACATGTCCCCAATGCCTGGAAATACCAGCTATTATTTTTTAGCTTCAGAGGCAGCAGTGGGGAACTAAAGGGAACCTGCACGTGGGGCTGGGTATGTAAAGCCCAATTGATCCCTCCCTATTTATAGAGTCATGCTGTATATACAGTTTTATATATGTACTGTTCTTTTATTTATTTTTTATTTTTAAGTTTCTAAGAGCTCCAGCAAGAGTTTAAATACCCTGTACTGGCAGCACCGTGGATATTCGGACCCCAGCACTCACAGCAGTCCTACATACCTCTGCACACAGGTCCAATCAAAGTACTTTTTAGAGCTGATTAGAGCAGTGTGCAGGGGGGCACTTGGGACCTCTGGAGACCCGGGCCTCTACCCATTTGTAAGGACAGCGGTCTAACTTTCCAAGTTGCCGCCAGCACTGGGTATTCTGTCAGACAGGGTCCTGATCTTTTTACCCCGAGTTGTCAACTGTGCACTGCAGACTGGACCATTGAATCACCACCTCCTTGTACTTTTCTGGTGTCTACTGGAAAGCACATATGTTTAATATAACAGGGACACGGGATAATCTTAACCTATCATTTCTTGTGTTTTGTAAAGATGGAGCCAGCAGCATGTCTCTCCCCCTAGAGCTGCGGAGGATCTCCCGTACCGAGACAGATCTCTTGTCGGACCTGTGAGTACATTTGTGAGGCCATACAGCGCATTACATGCACTACATTTACAATGTACTGTGTTCTCTTTCCTCTTAATGACTTGTATGGTTTAAGCTGCCATTCCTTTATTTTGTTAAAGTGCAAAACTTTGGACTGCAATGAGTAATATATATTTTTGACATCTATG